CCAGCGGCGGCGGCTCGCGTTTGCGCGTGGAGCTCACGCCCCATTTGTAGGCGCTGCGCCGGGCCCCCCCCAGGCCCAGGCCGCCCCCCGGGGCCGCCCTTGCCCTCAGCGCCCCGACCACCGGCCGTCCGCACGCGGCCACCGCCATACTGCTCGCCGCAAGGCCCGCCGGGATTCGGGATGCGCGCGCAGCCGGGGCGGGGCGAGGTCACGGGACGCGGAGCGGCGGCCTCCGCAGCCAATCGCCGCTGGCTCAGTTCTCCTTCCTCCCACCCCATCCCAGACTAGGGCCCGTAAGGGAGCGTCGGCGAAGTACTGCCCACGCCCCGAAGGGGGCGGAACTCAGCAGAGCGGCTCGGAACGGAGGTGAGTGTTTCGGCGCCAGACAGCAGCGGTATGTGCTTGAGGAGCCCCGGGGTGGGCCAGGTTGGACTGCCAGGGCGAGCCGAGCTAAGCTGTAGGGATGGCTCCTGGCTGGGAGCCCGAGCAGAGAGATCACGGATCCTCGACCCCCGATCTTCTCCCAGGCCCAGCCTTCCAAGGGCTTAGAGCTGGGAGGGACCCCAGGGGTCATCTAGGTCAACCCCCTCATTTTACAGAAGGGGAAACTGAGGCCCAGAGTCGTGGAGCAGTATATAGCTACCCCTCTGACGTGCTTGACTCCAGCACAGAGAGAGCGATTCGGGCCTGACCCCCAACTGGTGATGTCACATTGGCTTGTCTGGAGCTGTCCAATGGAGTGCCCGGGTTCTGTGCCCTTTACAAGTGGTCAAGGTGCTTAGAGAGCACTCCTCTCACTTTACAGGGGAGGAAACTGAGGCCCGAGGTCTTGCAGAGTCTGCTCCCAGTCTCCCTCCTCAGGCTGCCCTTGTGGGTCAGACCCCAGAATGGTTCCCAGAAAGGGGTCACGTGATTGACTACTAGTCCCAAAGGTGTCCATTGAAGGTTCAGTATCGGCTTGGAGAGGCGTCTTCCTTGGGGACCCCCTGGGATCTGTGATTGGAACTTTGGGGTTGAGAGTTATCAGGGAGCTTAGAGTGGACTCTAGTCCGCTTTGCTATTTTTGTACTTTATGCCGCCCTTCCCCAGCTCCCCCTAGCACCAGGACAATGCCTGGCGTGTACAGTAATAGTCACCTGATAAATGCTTGTTTGGTGGATTGCTTGATGCTCTTCTTGTGGAAAAGATGGACACTGGGCCACATGACAAGATGATCACGTGGATTTGGAGCTGGCTTAATCCAGAGGAGTGATGACTGGGTCAACGATGACTCTGAAAGAGGTCTCCGGCGGGGAGCTGTGGGGACTCCGTGCTTAGCCCGGAGTTCTTTACATATGGAAGAGACCTTAAGGATCACCTGGCCTCCCCCCCCCACCATTTGACAGGTGATGAAACAGGCTTGGGGTTCCTTCCTTCAGAAGGAGGGATTTGCACCGGCCCCATTGCCAGTTCTAGTTCACATTTATGCATTCTTCCATCCCACCAAGCTCAACCAACGGTTCCCTAGTCCCACTTTGCCTCCTTCCTCCTCCATCCCCTGAGGCAGCCCCCGAGTCTAGAATATACTTTCCCTTCATCCCTGCCTTTTGGAACCAATCTGTTCCTTCAAGACTCAAGTGCAGTTCTCCCTACTTTGGGAAGCCTTCTTTGGTTGTCCCCAACCCCAGGACAAAGCATTCCTTCCCTTCTTTCACATCCCTAGAACCCTTCCCTGGATTGCTCCTTTCTCTCCATCCCATCTAACCTGCTGTACAGTCTCCCTGACTCCACCCATAGAAGGTAAGCCCTCTGAGGCCAAGGTCGAAGTCAGGGGCGGAGAACCTGTGGCCTGAGGCCACATGTGGTCTAAGTCATTGATATATGTTGAACTGAACTAAGGAGGCAGGATTCCCCTCCTCCCCCCATAACTGGAGTATACAAAGTTACTGGTATAAATCAGATACAATGTTGCTCCAATGCCCTGGTAAAATGTCACTGTGTTGAAGCTGACAAAATGTTGCTCTGGTGAACCTGATTTTAATGTTTCCTCAATGAGCATGTTAGAGAAGTCCAAAGAAAGTGCCAGGAGAGGTTGAAGGAGCAAGCTGGGGATCAGCCCTGGCTATCAGGGACGGCTTCTCAGAGGAGGAACTGGCATTTGAGTTCGATCAAGCATCCACTGTATACCAGACCCTGTGCTAAAAGATGAGATACAAAGACAGAAGTGAAATAGGCCCTGCCCTCAAAGAGCTTCCATTTTCCCAGATGAGACAACAGCAACAGATTAAGTGTATACCAAATGAATGTGAGGCACTTCTTTTGATTGGGGGATGGGACCAGCAAGTTGAGGTGATCAGACAAGTCTTCACACAAAAGAGGGGCCTTGAGAGGAAGTAGAGGGGATGAGGGAGGGCATTCCAAGCATGAGGAACAGCTTCTACAAAGTCTCAGAGCCTGGAAACAGAGTGTGTGAAGGACAGGTTGGCTATGCCCTAGGGTGTGTGAAGGGGAGTAATGGATTATGAGACTATAAATGCCCCATAAAGGAGTTTATACTTAATTCCAGGACAGAGATGCAGCACAATGGATAGAGCACCGGTCCTGGAATCAGGAAGACCTGAGTTCACATTCAGCCTCAGACACTTACTAGCTGTATGACCCTGGCTAAGTCACTTAACCCTATTTGCTTCAGTTTTCTCATCTGTAAAATGAGCTAGAGAAGGAAACCTCCAGTGTCTCTACCAAGAAAACCACAAATAGGGTCATGAGGAGTCAGACGTGACTGAAAATGATTAAACAACAACAATTTGATTCTAGAGACAATAGGGAGTCAGAAGAATTTATTGAGCAGGGTTCTGATGGCGGTATGACACCTCTTTGGTAGCTGTGTGGAGGATGTGTAGAGTGAGGAGAGACTTAAGACAGGGGGGCTGATAGGGAAGCCACTGTGATAGCCTAGGCAAGAGGTGATGAAGGTCTGAACTGGGAGAGTGTCTGGGAGAGTGGAGAGAAGAGGGTGAATGTGAGAGATATTGGGGGAGAGGGAAACAGCCCAGACTTGGCCAGGGATGGGATGTGGAGATTGCAAACAGCAGTAAGCGTTTGGGGAGAGGGAAGAAGCCAGCAAGGGAAGGAGCAGCTGGACAGATGGCTTCTCAGAAGCCAAGGGAGAACAGAGTGGTCAGAGGGATGGGATGGTCGACTGTGGCAAAGCAGCTGAGGTTGCTGTGAAATTGGGGTTAGGATTTCTTGATACTGGGATGAAATCTGCCTCCCTGTCACTCCCTATCTCCATTCTGCCCATCAGGGCCTCATAACATACAGCTGATCAAGAAGCTGTCCTCAAAAGTGCTCATGCATTTCTCCCCCACCCCCACCCCACCTTTGGGCCCAGCCAGAATTGTTTCCTTCCAGCCACTCCTCATCTTTTTGAGTGTCTCCTATGGTGGGTGACAGGCTGGGGGAGAAGCCTGCTTCCCCCTTCCCTTGGCTCAGGACCATGGTGCTTTTCCTGAGAGCACTCTATCTCCAAGGAGAAATAAGTAGAGGAGTCAGACTTGGAGGCAGGAAGACCTGGGCCTTCTTCCTGGCCCTCCTGCTTATTATTCACGTGCCCCCTAGGTAGGTTACTGCCCCTCTCTGGGCCTCTGATGGGAAGAGGAATACCTGCACATCCCACTTTATGGGGGATGGTAGGAGAGTCAAGTGAGATAATGGACAGACAAAAAGGCTTCAGAAACCTTCAGGCACAATATAAATGTGATGTGTTTGTACTCAGTTTTCCAAATGGGTTCATCTCAAGGAGCCCTTCTACCTGGAGTGTTTCAAATCTTGTGAATAGCACAGTTTGTACCCCCAAAGAACAGTGCTTGGCAAAGAGATGAAAAACCAAGTCTAGGGACTGCCCACCCTTCCTGAGAACAACCAGGGATGTGGCTTTCTTTTATCCTGAAATTCATTTCCCTCGACTGGACAGATAGTTGAGGTATCACCAGTAGGTATAATTCTAGGCCACTACCCCTCATAGAGAATAGAAAAAGGCACCTATTCTTGGCAGGACTTCTGGAGCCTGCCTGCCTCTCCTCCTTGCCCCTAGCTGGGATGCTGGGGAGGCAGGCATGACCCTTGGCTCTCCTCCTGTCTGAGACAGGGGCTTCCTCTTAGAGAAAGACTTTGGAAATCAGGGGAGTGTTGGTGAGCCAGCATCCTCTACTTGTCTGCAGCTTCCAAAGACTTTCCCTCTTCCCTCTTTAGAGCATCCTCTGTCCATGTATCTCTCTTCAGAAGAATTCTGGAACCAACACAGTAAGTCCATTAGAAAAGTACACAGGATAGAGCTCAGCATGCTCTCTGACAATCAGAAGACACATTTCCCTCCATATATAGCGCAAAACATTGGGCTGCCCCACCCCTCCCCTACTTGGGAGGGAGACAGATTATATTTACCTTTTATGTAGTTGGAGTCTATACACACACACACACACACACACACACACACACACACAGAGCTACATTTATATCAGTCATTTCCTGATTTAATGCACCCCAACCCTCCTTCATAACAAAGAAAACATTAAGGAAAATTGAACAACAGAGCTACCTCTGACAGTTTATGCAGTATTCTGCACCCATAGTCCCTCACTTCACTATTTATAGGAGGAAAGGATGTCTCTTCATTTGTTTTCCAGGAGAAGGATTGGCCACTGCATTTAACCTGAGTTTAATATAAAACTTTTTTTTTAAATGAGAGGCAGTCTGTCTTAATGGATAGAGAGCTGGTCTCAGAGCCAGGAAGACCCAGGTTCAAGTCCTACATTTGACCTGAAGTGGCTGTGTTAGTTATCCAGTCACTTAAACTCTTTTTTCCTCATCTGTAAAATGAGGGGATTAGATTTGAGGGCCTCTTACTTCCCTTCCAGCTCTAAATAGGACTTTGATCTGAAGTTCTGTGTAGTTCTTTTTTTCTTTCTTTCTTTTTTTTCTTTTTTAGCATTCAGGGTTAAGTGACTTGCCCAGGGTCACAAAGCTAGTGTCTGAAGCTGAAGATGAGTGTTCCTGATTCTAAGCAGTGGTCTATCCACTGAGCCACCTAGCCGCTTCACATAAAGGAAGAACTGTCTGATAATAGAATGGGCTGATTCATAAGGTAGTGAGCTTCCTGTCCCAGGAAGTATTCAAGTAGAGGCTAGTCAGCCCTGCTTTGGGATTCTGTAGAAGGGATTCCTGTATTGAGGCGGGGAATGGGACTTGATAATCATAGTTCTAAAGCTGAAAGGAATCACAGAGGACATTTTACAAAGGAGAAAACTGAGGCCCAAAGAGGTAAAATAAAATGGCTTCTCCGAGAGAGTGAAGATCAAAGGCAGAATCTGAACCCAGTTTCTCTGATTCCAGAGTTAGTATTAGTTACCCCATTGTCTAACCTTGTCTCCCTAGGAGATGACTTGGAGATGCTGCAGTCCTTCATGTTCCTAGCACCATCCCTCCTCCCCCAGAGGCTGCTTCCTTGTGTTTAGTCAGGTACCCAGTGTGGTTCTGGATTTTGGGATTCCTTGCCAGCTCCCAAGAGCTGCTAGCACAGGAGGAAAATGGGGCTAAAGGGACTGGCTCTGAGCACACATTTAAAACCAAAGCATCTTTGTTCTGGTAAACTGAGGGTGAAAGAGACCAAGATTGAAGTCTGTACAATTAGGGATGTCACAGAGAAAGTAGCCTGGAGCTGTTCACCAACACTTGAATTACCAGAACAAGATGGCCCCCTTTGGAACTCATGTGAAGTAAGCCTGGGACAACGAAAAGCAGTCTGGCTTCACACAGTAGGTGACTTATTTCCCCAAGAAGTGACACAGCCAAGGAATGGAAATGAGTGAAAATACTATTTGGCCAGGTTGATGAATGACCCTTTAAAACCTATGAGAATTGCAGAACCTCCAAGTCCAGAGGAGAGCTCATAAAGCATCTCGTCCAATCTCTACCTGGGCAAGAACCCCTCTGCAACATCTCCATCTAGCTTTTGCTGAAATACCTTCATTGGTGGGGAACTGACTGCCTACCAAGCCAGCCCTTGGAACACACATGTACACATAGGTATGTATGTATGTATTTTAGCAGTTCTAATGGTTGGGAAATTTTTGCCTTAATATGGGACCTATATCTACAACTCTTCCTGGCCCTTGAAGCCACCTGTTTTAATAAGACCACTTTATTATTGGTCTGGGCCTTTGATTTCATTCATATGAGTAACTCCCAATTGGGGAAATTCCCTCTACCTATGGAAATCTGTTACTGTTCTGTGACATCCAGTCTTAAAGAATCATTTGGAGCCCTGATTGCAACATTAAGTGACTTTCCCTGGGTCACATAGCCCTCGTATGTACCAGGGGTAAGACTTGAACCCATCGCCCTGACTCTGATGCCTGGCCGCTATCCACTTAGCCACACCATCCTTGGGACAGCTCTGAGAGATATAAACTATAAGGCTTGTAGCCTCACTGAGCCCCAGCCTTCTCAATGTAAAATGGAAGTAATCATGTTTGTTCTACTGACTTCTGAGAGCTGTGAGGAAAGTATGCATTTTGTATCCCTGAAAGGGCCAGATAAATGGGGGTTGGGGGATTCTTATTGATAGCATTTCTCAGAAGTGAAGCTCAAAAGTCTGAAAAGGAAAGATGAAGGGGAGCAAGCCCAGCCAAGGGGCCTTTTGCAGGCAGGACTCAGGAAGGAGGAGGTTAATGTATTCCCATCAAGTCTGGATTACTGGCATTTATAAAGCTTTGGGAGGAGGGCTCCCAGACTCCCCCTTTGCTCTGCTTGGAGCAGCCCGGCAGAGGCCCTGCTTCTGGTTTTTGATTTGCATTTAGGATATTAATGGCGAGCCTGGATTTGCAGGTGCAGTGATTAGACACGGCTCCTTCTACATAAACGGTGGCCCTCATATGTAAATACTTGGGAATCCAGATTAATCCCAAACTTCCTTCCCCATGGAGGAAGCTCAGAATAAATCATAAGTCATGTATGAAGCCACTTAACTCTTCCCTCACTGTGCCTTCCCAGGCCTTAAAGTGAGGCCTGGTTGCTGATAGCCACCTCTCACCTCTTACAATGTCTCTTGGGTGATTCATCCATCTGTCCATCCATCCATCCTTCTGTCTATCCGTCCGTCCATCCATCCATCCATCCCTCATGAGATCCTAGATCGAGAGTGGGGAGCAAGTGAGGCCATTTAATCTGGCCCCCTCATTTCAGAGATGTGCAGACTGAGACCAAGGGCTGAGGTCTGGCCACAATCCTCCCCAGTCCCGTCCCCCCCCCCCCAGGCTTTAGTGCTCTCTCTGCCCACCCCCTAATTAGAATGTAAGCTCCTTGAAGGGAGGGTGGCTTCATTTTTCTCTTTGGATCTTCCAAACCTTGTACAGTGCCCGCAGCCAAACTGCACAATTCAACCTTGGCCCAGACTCATCCTGTTCTCCTGCCTTTGGCTCATGCCATCCCTACCCTCCAGGACCACCCATGGACTCTTTCACAGAGTCACAGAAGTAGAGAGTTGGAAGGGACCTTAGAGACCTCTACTCCAAGCCATCCACGTGGGTGACCAAGGAGCGGTCGTCCAGCTCTGTTTGGAGGCCTGGCTCCTTGCCGCTGAGAAGGGCCTCTTCCCCTGGGACAGCTCTTATTGTTAGGACCTTTGTCCTAACCTGGAGCTGCCTTCTCCTGGGATCTTCGGCCCAGAGACTGTCCACGCTGGGAGAGACCCCGAGAGCCATCTGTACCAACCCTTTCATTTGGGGGACAAGGAAAGCAGGGTTCGGAGAAGGCAGCATTTGACCCAGCATCACATAGCTAGGCACTGGTGGAGTCAAGACTTGAACCCAGCGTCCTCTGACTCGTCTCAAACTGTTGTTGTCGTTCAGTTGTCGTTTCAGCGTCTGACTCTTGGTGACCACCTTTGGGGTTTTCTGGCAAAGATCCTAGAGTGGTTGGCCATTTCCTTCTACAGCTCATTTTACACATGAGGAAACTGAGGCAAACAGGGTGAAGTGACTTGTCCAGGGTCACACAGCTAGTACCTGAGGTCAGATCTGAACTTGGATCCTCCTGACTCCACAGCCAGTACTCCACCTAATGTGATTATGTTTATCTCAACCCAATCCAATTTAATTCAGCCAGTGTTTATTAAGCACCTACTAAGTGTTAGTCACTGTGCTAGCTTGGGGCTGCAAAGGCACCAGGAGAGTCCCTGCCCTCGGGGAGCTTACATTCATCTCAGAAGTCAGGTCAACAAGCATCTAGCGAGCAGTGGAGCATCTGGTGCCTAATAAATGTCCAATTGAGTTGGGTGGGACACTTTGATTAAGGTCTTGGCAGAGACTCCCCTGGCCTAGTACTGGGAGCTCCTCCCCAGCACTGCCCACCCCCGTCCTAAGCCAATCGGCTTTCCTAAATTCCCTCTCTCCTCTTTCCCAACTTCCCTCTCTCCTCTTTCCCTCCTGAGCAGGCTCTGTCTGCTGATGATGGAGGAGGAGGAAGATGACGAGGAGGAAGCCTGGCTGCAGCTCCGACCCACTGAGCCTTTGCCTGCTCAGTGCTGCGGTGGCGGCTGCAAACCCTGCGTGTTTGACATCTATTACCAGGAGCTCGCCTGGTGGGAAAAAGCCCAGACCAAGAAAGATAAGAGCCTCCTGCGGAGAAAGAAGGAAGAGGTAGGAACTTCCTGAGGACAGTTTTCCAGGACAGTCTGCCTCTGTCGGCTCTGGGTACGGATGGGAGGTTTGGGCCCCTGTCCCCTCGTGTGAAATGAGCAGATTGGCGTCGAGGAGCCCTCCAGTTCTGGATTGGAGGAGTCTGCGGGCTGTCCTCACCCGTCCTTCCCGGCCCAGCTGTGGTACCACCTCTTCCTGGGACCCTTCCCTGGCTCCTCTAGACCACAGTGAACTCTTTCCTCTCTGTTTGTAATGACAGAAACACACATTTCTCATATGCTCATAAGAAATAGAGCTGAGATTCCAACCCAGATTCCTGCTATATTTAGAAAAGTTTACCTTTTAAAATTGAAAAAATACCAGGCCTTCTGATTCCTAATTTAATAATTCTAACGATGGCCTGAATGCGTGAGAGGATTCACTAATACTTGCTGCTTTAGTCTCATGGCAAAGAGGCCCAGTCACAAGTAAGTTTTTAATTCCCCATCTTTCATTCCCAAGTACCCTCGCCTTTGAGGGTAGATCAGCGGGTGGGGATGTAGCAGCTCTAAGAAAATGAAAATACTTTTAGACTTGGAGTCAGAGAACCTGGGTTCGAATCCCAGCTCTGTCGCTTACTCCCTGCATGACCATGGGCAAGTCCCTTCCCTTCTGTGAGACAAAGATGGATCTGCCAGCATTTCAGGGTCTTCACCAGGCCTTCCTAGCTGCCGTAACGGTCTCAAGGCTCTCAGAGTCCTGCTGGGTATCACCCTGGCTTGGTATTAACCACGTGTAACATTATGATATCATTAGAATTATTTGTGCATGAACTAAACTGTAAGCTTCCAGAGGGCAGGGACTGTGCCTTTCCACATACTGCTCCCCTGCCCTTTCAGCAAGTACTTGCCTTCTTTCCCCAAATTGCCTTGTGTTTATTTCAGTGACTCAGTAAGTATTTATTGCATATGTGGCCCCTGTCCTCAAAGAGCTTACATTCGAATAGGGGAGATGACAGGCACCAAAAGTTGTAGATGGAAGACAACTTTTGAGAGGAAGGCCTGAACAGGTAGGGCCGTGGGAAAGGCCTCCTGTAGAAGAGAGTGTTTGAGTTAAGCCCCAAAGAAAGCAGGGATTCTGAGATGTGGATATGAGGAGGGACAATATTCCAGGCTTGAGGAACAACCCTGGCAAAGGCGGGGAGGTGGGAGATAGCACATCATTCCTGAAGAACAGTGATAGAATAATGTCTAAGAAGGCTGAAAAGATGGAAGGAAGAGCTTTAAATTCCAAACAATGCATTTATGTGTTTGATCCTGGGGGCAAGAGGCAGCTACTGAAGTTTATAGAGTAGGAGAAGTGACGTGGTCAGGCTTGTGCTTCAGGAAAATCATTTTGGCAGCTAAGGGGAGGATGGGTGGAGAAGGGGGAAATCAGTTCAAAGGCTATGACAAATAAAAAGAAGGTTCACATGAAGACGTCATGGAGAAAGAAATGGTGAGCTTTGGGGAGTGCTTAGATATGTAGGGTGAAAATGAGGAGGGGGGGTTGACATTGAGGCTACAAATCTTGGTGCCCAGGAGGACACTGTTAGCTTAGACAGAAAGAGGGGAGGATGGGCAGGGGTGGGGAAGGGGATGAATTCTCTTTTGAATATGTTGATTTTTTTTTTTGGCTAGGCAATGGGGTTAAGTGACTTGCCCAGGGTCACACAGCTAGTAAGTGTTATGTGTCTGAGGCCGGATTTGAACTCAGGTCCTACTGAATCCAGGACAGTTGCTCTATCCACTGTGCCACCTTGCTGCCCCCTGAATATGTTGATTTTGAGCTGCCTACAGGGCTTCCAGTATGAAATGTTCAATAGGCCACTGGCGATATAGGACTGAAGCTGAGGAGAGAGATTAGAGCTGGATTTATAGGTCTGGGAACCATCTGTGTAGTACTGGCAATTGAACCAGTGGAAGCTGATTAGTTCACCAAGTGGGATAATATAGAGGGGGAAGAGAAGGGGGCCCAGAACAGAGCCTTTGGGGGACACTTGTGGTTAGAGGATATGACCCAGATCCTGCAAAGCAGACTGAGAAGAAGGGGTCAGACCCATGAGAGGAGAGTCATGAAAACCCAGAGAGGAGACAGCGTCTGGGGAGAGAAGGGGTTCAGTAGGGCCAGATGTCAGCAGGAGGTCCAGAAGGTGGAGGGCCCAGAAAAGGCCATTAGACTTGGCAGTTAAGAGAGCATTGGTGACTTTGGAGGGAGCAGCTTGGGTTGAATGATAAGGCTAGAAGGCAGACTAGAGGCTTTAGAAGCAAGTGAAAAGAAAAGAAATAGAAGGCCGGGCTGTGGACAGCTTTCTCAAGGAATTCAGCCTCTAAGAGAGATATTAGACAATGGCTAACAGAGATGGCAGCTAGGGGGCGCCATAGTGCACAGAGCACCAGGCCTGAAATCAGGAAGACTCCTTTTCCTGAGTTCAAATCCAACCTCAAATACTTACTAGCTGTGTGACCCTGAGCAAGTCACTTCACCATATTTGCCTCAGTTTCCTCATCTGTAAATGAGTTGGAGAAGGAAATGGTGAACCACTCCAGTATCTTTGCCAAGAAAATCCCAAATGGGTTTTCAGTCATATGTAACTGAAATGTCTAGACAACAAAAACAGACGGCTGGATCAAGTGAGGGGTTTTTAATGACGGGGTTGTTGTAGGCATGTTTGTAGGCGGTAGGGAAGGAGCCAGTAGACAGGGAGAGATGGAAGGTTAGGGACAGTGGGGGTGATGGAGGGGACAGTCTCCTTGAGGGTTGGGGAAGGGATTGGATCAGATGTTGGGCGAGGGTTTGCCTTTGGCAAAGAGCAGGGCCGCCACCATGAGACAAAGTAAAGGAGGAGTCAGTGGGGGTGGATGTCAGAGGGGTGGGAGCAGAGGAAGCCCTCAGCAAAAGACCTTGAGTTTTCGGTGAGTATGAGGGGAGGAGAAGGCGGGGGAGCAGAGTGCTGTGGGAGACTTGAGAAGAGAAGGGTTAGAAAAGCTTCTGAGAGAAGTGAGAGAGGGGATCTATCCATAATAACAGCTAACATTTTTATATAGCACCTACTATGTGCTAAGCTATGTACAAATACCTCATTTGGTCCTCACAGCAACCCTGGGAGGGAGGTGCTATTACTCCCCCCCCATTTTACAGATGAAGAAACTGAGGCATACAGAGTTAAGCAGCTGACCCAGGGTCACACAAGTAGTAAATGTCTAAGGCCAGATTTGAACTCAGGTCTTCCTGACTGCGGGCCCAGGGCTCTATCCACATCCAGCAGATTAGGGAGCAGTACCAGGATTGCCAGGCTGCAGTGAGGGACCATTTGAGATCACCTGGTACAATTTGTCAGGTGGCCAGTGGGGGCAGTTTCATTACCTTCTGAGGCTCTGGACTGCTAGGTGGAAGTGCTCCAGTGTGGGGGTTGGCAGACAGGGGTGACTGACAAACAGCAGGACCAGTAACCAGGGGCTCAAGAGGGAAGGATAGCATGGGGTTGAGACAGTGGAGGGAGGCGGGAAAATTTCACGTATCTCTGTATATTAAAACTTCATACGCATGTTATTTGTGCACGTATATGTGTGCATATGCATATATGTACATGTGCACATATCTACACGTGTGCGTGTCTAGGCAATGTGTTGTAGACATGTATACATGCACACATTATACACACGTACACATATGCAGTGCAGCGTAGAAATAAGCACATGTGTGTATGCATGGACATGCATGCACACACGTTTGCACAGGTGTGCGCGCACACACACACACAATAGACAAGGCATTGTAAGCATATGCACACATGATGGTGCCTGTATTTATGCGCATGTTTACATAAACATGTGTGTTCATGCACATAGACACACATGTACAGACACATACCGTGCATGCCTGTACATGTACACGCATATGTCCATGCATGCGTACACACATACATATGCACACACACAAACGTTGTCTCCTTCGATAGAATCTAAACCCCATGAGGATAGCCTGACTCATTTTGGTCTCCGTAGACCTGGCACCCACCACAGAGCCTAGCCTGTAGCAGGCACTTAATAATTGTTTGTAATTCGGCTAATTGACAGCCCTTTGACTGTTGCAGCAAGGTCGCTCAGAGCTGAGCCTGGAAACCTTTCAGGCCTTCAGCATTAGTGCCGTGGAGCAGCTGACGGATGACACCTGCCAGGTCCGCTTCGCGCTGCCTGGGAACACGCAGCTGGGGCTGAGCCCTGGACAGCATCTCATCTTACGGTAGGAAATCTGCTCTCCTACACCAAGGCCGTGACCCTTCCGAGCTGGGGCAGACACGCTCCTCGCCTCATGTATCTGTGCCTCTGAAGCCCCAGCTGGAAGATCTCAGGCTTCCCATTAGCCGGAGAAACCTCATAGTTTTACTTATGCTTCTCACTGGTCTGGGAGAGAGGAGAGACCTGAATGTGATCTTTAGGAGGGAAAAAAAAATGGCTAAAAACTAATGGTGGCCTAAAGCACAAAAAGCAGGCAGGAGAAATGAAGAGAAGCTGATCCCTGTAACTGATATTTATGCATCAGTCCCACCCATCCATCACCTCATCTGACCCTCACAACCCTGAAAGATAGGTTCTCATTTTCACAGATGAGGAAACTGAGCAGACAGAGATTAAGTGACTTGCCCAGGGTCATAACAGCTAATAAAGTGTCTGATGTAGCATTTGAACTCGGGTCTTCCAGACTCCAAGTCCACTGGGCCATCTAGTTGTAAAATGGGGGGGAGGGGTTAGACTAGATGGCCGGGGGGGCAGGGGACCTTCCAGCTCTGAATCACCTTCTGATTCCTAATTTAAGTGAATTCAAGTCAATAGGCATTTATTAAGCTCCTACTGTGTGCCAAGCATTGTGCTAAGCATTCGTTCCAGGATAGCCAGAGGGGTTACAAGGGCTGGACGGTGATTTTGTTTCCTTGCCACCCCTAAATAATGGGCTTGGCTTCCCTGGTCTGCTGCTGTTTCCTCACCTATGAAGCACGGATGGGCGGCCAGCACTCCCCAGTCAACTGTTGAGAGCTGGTGAGATGCCTGAGGTCTGGGGCCCGATTCATCAGCCCCTGCCTTTGTCTTTCCTAGGGGGACCGTGGATGGTTTGGAAATTCAGAGAGCCTATACCCCGATCAGCCACAGGAACACTGAGGGGTATTTTGAAGTTTTAATTAAGGTAAGTGTAATTGCTGGACAGCACCTCTCCTGGCCCTCATTTCATTTTGCTCCCCACCTGCCCGAGGAAGGGTGTGTGTCCCGTGGCTTCCTGTATCTGTGAGGTCGTGGCCCCCAGCTGGCTCGGGGCTAGGTGGGCCCCTCCCTCCCTGAGGGAGCTCCTGGCTCCTGGCAAAGGGCTCCTAGCTAGCTGCTTTTATGGAAGGCAGGATCAAAGCAGGGGCTGTAAAGATGTCAGATCTCAGCTTGGTTCTCTAATCGAGCTGGAGGAGACAGCCTGGGTGGCCGGGGCTGAGGCTGAGGCGGCAGCAAGAAATGCCAGCCCGGCCCAGTTGGAGGGGTCGTGGGGGTGTCACATCTGAGCCCTAGAGCCAGAAGGGACCTGGTGGCCATCTACACTGACCCCCTCAATTTACAGAAGAGGAAACTGAGCCTCGGAGAAGTTAAATGGCCAGCCCCAGAAGCAGGACCATCACTGAGAGCTGAGAGGGTGCTCACAGGCCATCTGGTCCTAACCCCTACCCTACCCTATCCTTCATCTGAGGCTCAGAAAGGGTAAGCCATCTGTCCAAGGCCACGCAGGTGGTAAGGGTCAGAGGCAGGATCATAGGATCATGGATTCAAACCTGGAAAGCCATCGAATCTGACCCCTCCCCCCATTTTACAAATGAGGAAACTGAGGCCCAGAGAGGTTAAGGGACTCAGGTTCATAGGCTAACCCCTGGAAGGGACCGGAAGTCTAATACAACCCTCTCATTTGGAAACTGAGACCCAGAAAGGATAACTGAATCGTCCAGGGTCATACCACTACCAAGAAGGGTAGGATTCGAATGCAGATCCCTCGACTCCAGAGCTAGGGCTCTCTCCACTGAGATCTTGTCCGTACCTACTCATATTGTCTCCTCCATTAGAACGGAAGGTCCTTGAGGGAAGGAATTCTTGCCTTTCTTCATCTCCCTGGGGTTTGGACAGTGGCTGGCGCAGAGTAGGCGCTTAATAAATGCTTTTTAAAATTACTTGCTTGCTCTGATCCAAGACCCAAGGACAAGGCCAGAACACATCAAGCCTGGGAATTGTTGTCTCCCTTGCTCCCAGCTACACTGGGCTCACCTTTGCAGAGCATTCCGTATTATGGAAATATCTGATTTGTCTTGGCTAAGTAGCTTGCAGACTCCCGAAAGAGGCATCTGGTGACTCAGTGGATAGAGCCCTGGGCCTGCAGTCAGGAGGAACTGAGTTCAGGTCTAGCCTCAGATACTGCTACTAGCTGTGTGATCCTGCACAAGTCACTTAACCTCTGCCTGCCTCAGTTTCCTCCTCTGTTAAATGGGGATGATAATAACCTTCCAGGATGGTTGGGAGGATGAAATGAGATAATATTTGTAAAGTGCTTGCACAGCTCCTGGCACACAGTAGGTGCTTAGAAAATGCTTATTCCCTTCCTCCCCCCTTCTTTGGGAATAGAGACCTTTGTTCATTCAATAAACACTTATTAAGCACCTATTGTGTGCCAGGCCGTGGGGACGTCAAAGCAAAAATGTAATAATCTCTGCCCTCAAGGAGCTTGTGCATGAACCTGCGTCTCCAGGCTCTAGTCTTTTCTCAGGGGGTGTTGGTGCCAGCTCCAACCAGCTCAGCTGCTTGTTAAATTTTCTCTGTGCCCATTTATGCATCCGAGATCAGCAAACGCTACAAATCAGGGTTCGATTTATTGTTTTGTGGATTGTCGAGACTTAAGAAAGTGCTGGGGAAGCATTAATAATGAAGATTGACTGAAGCGTGCCCCAGGGACATTGTTTTTTTTTCAGAGAGCCTTCCTGAACACTTAGCAGCACAGGAGGCTGCCTTGGGGAAGGTTCTTTGGCTTCCTAATCAGAGGCTTTGTGGGAGGTTTTGCTGTGCACTGGTCATGTGACCTTGGGCAAGTCACTTCCAGTTAAGTCGCTTAAGTCAGAAGGCCTGAAACAACATTTGGGCTGTGCTGCCTGCCTGCTTGGGTGAGCATAGCATTGCCCTTCTAATCTCTTTCTGGGCCTCAGTCGCCATGTCTGTGAAATGGAATGAATATCTGGCCTCCCCACTTCACAGGATCTCAAGGAAAGCACCGCGTCAGCCTGAACTGGCACAGTTTGGGCTGCACGCCCCTATTCTCTGGGCCTCGGTTTCCTTGTGTTTAAGGTGAGAGCAAGGACCAGGTGACCTATAAAGTCCCTTCTGGAGTGACCTCCTCTGATCTGGCCCCTCCTCCCTCTTCTTCCTCTCCCTCTATCCTTCTCCCCTTCTCTTCTTCCCCTTGCCCTCCCTCTCCCCCATCCCCTTCTTCTCCTTTCCTCCCTCCCTCCCATTCTCTTTCCTCCCTCTCTTTCCCTCCCTCTCCGTCTCCTTTTCCTTCTCCCTATCGCCTCTCTTTCTGTCCCTCTCCTCTCCCTTTCTCTCCCCCTAACCCATTCTCCTTCCCTTCCTCCCTTCCCTCTGTCCCTCTTCCCTCTCCCCCTCCCCTTCTCTCCTTCTCTTCCTCTTCCCTCTGTCCTACTCCCTGTCTCTCTCGGGAAAGTCTCTTGTGCCAGTCTGTGCTTCAGGCTGCCCAGATCTTGGCCCCTGGCTCTCTGGCCTCCCTCTGCCATGGTGCCAGTGGTTTCAGAGAGTTCCCCAGGCCATCTCCCGCTTGCCCTGGCTCCCCACACTGGGCGTCTGGGAAGGGGTTCTGCCTAACAGCTCAGCGTGGAAGCATCTCTTCAGAGGAGCTGTATTTCTCTCCCAGCTGTGAGATTGATTATCCTTCCTGGGCAACTGTAAAGCTTCTCTTTTAGGGGAATGATTAATTATCTCTGAGCCACTGGGGCTAAATGAGGCCTTAAACATCTCTGCAAACTGAAGCCGTGGAGAGATGAAGGCCTAGGGGAAAGAGCCCCAGACGAGGGCTCCAGACCTGGCTGGTGTCCCCAGCCCCTGTCCTTAGCATGAATGCCCCCGAGGCCAGCCAGGCCAACTCACGGGGGAGGAAACCAAGGTCCAGGGAAATGAGCCCTTTAGTCACGTGGCTTACAAAGTGTTGGTGGAGGGATTTGAACCTGGGTCCTCTGGCTCCAGAGCAGGTTCCTTTTTTCACTGGACCACTTTCAAAAAGCACACTTCCTGCTGACTTGGAATGATTCAATTCGCCTTCCCGAGCCTCAGTTTACTCCTTTAAAACAAGGGAAATAATCTCTGTGTTGCCCATCTCACAGGCTTCAAAAACAACAAAGGTCACATAATGTAAACAATCACTAGAGGCAGTGTGGCTTCGTGGGTAGGGAGCCGACCTCTGAGTCAGAAAGAAGCAGACTCGAGTCCGCCTTGGATATTTGTTTGGCTTTTAAAGCCCTTCCCAGCCTGGCCCCAACTTTATTAGACACGACTTCTCCTAGGCGCTCTGGTCTGGCCACACTGGCCGTCCTGCTGCTCTTCCTCATGCACGACATTCCATCTTCCATCTTGGGACCTTTGCACTGGCTTCTTCCCATCGAGAATCCCGCTCTCCCTCCCTCCCTCCGCTTCTCAGAAACCCTTATTTCCTCCCAAACCCTAGCGCCCCCTGCCCAGATGAGCCCTTTCCGGGCCCCAGCTACTAATGCCCTCCCCTCACAACCCGACTTTGCATTTAGCTGGGAGACACATTGTCTCCCTTGATAGAGGGGAAGCTTCTGGAGGGGAGGCGCCGTTTCATTTGTCTGTATATCCTGGCATCTGGCACAGTACTCGGCGCACAGTAGGTGCTGAATGAATGTTGACTGATGGGTCCATGCGTAGCCCCGAGCATGTCACTCCGTGCCACGGTGCTCACCTCTCTCTTAAGACTCTAAGTTTTAAAACGTGAGCATTGGGTTGGAGCAGATTTGCGTGGGGACAGGGAGTTTTTTACATGGATGAAATTACAGGTTGGGATAAAGATGTTGGGTATCAGAAGGATTCCATCCTTCAGTCATCTCTGCACGGGAAGAGAGAGTTGGGGGAAAGGGGGGTAAGTGGAGTCAGACTCCATGGTGAGAGTCAAGGGAAAGAGAGCCTGGGGAGATGCCCTGAGTGAGTTCAGCACGGGGTCTGGTGGACCTGTGATGTGGTGGCTATCCCTGGGTGTCTATGTTTGTGTTCCCAGCTTCTCTCTCTCTGTCTCTCTCTCTCTCTGCCTGTCTCTCTCCTCCATCTCCTCCGCTCTCTCTGTCTCTTTCTGTTTCTCGCTCCCCTTTTTCTCTATCTCTCTCCCTCTGCCTGTCTCTCTCCTCCATCTCCTCCTCCTTCTCTCTGTCTGTCCCTGTCCTTTTCCTCTGTCTCTGTCTCTCTCTTTCACACACACACACACACACACACACACACACACACACACACACACACACACGGAATCTCTGGCGTCAGGGTGTGCTAGCAGCCACATGGTCTGGGTCTTGGGCACCCAGGTTACCAGGGTGTTTAATCCCTCTTCCCGCTGGTAACCCTTCAAACATCGGGATCACCCTTCCCTGGCCATCCTCCAGCTTGTCCACTGCCCTTCTCAGAAGTAGCCATCTGATGGCAGTCACGCTCCTTATCTGCCCCCTGCTCTTCCATTCCTGCCTGCCGGGGTGACCTCAGGTCACGTCCTGCTGCTCCCTCGTTGATCTGCACCTGCTGGCATTCTTCCCCCATACGATCTGCTTTCCAGCCGCGGCTCCCTGGCCTCACCTCGCTCTGTGGAGGACTTTGCGTTCACCCCTCTTGGATTTCTTCTTCCCAGCTTCAGCCACCCGCTGTAGCAGCTAACACTCTCAGCTTTGTGTGGCCGGCAAGTCTGAGAGCTATCCCTTCATCCTGGTCGTTGAGAACAAGGCCAAGGATGGGAACCGAGTTGTGCCTAAACTTTCTCTCTCCCCCTCCCAGTTCCTAGCGCCCATTAGAAACTTAATAAATTAGGTCCCCGAAATGAAGGAATGGACAAACAGAGGCAAGGCCGGAGGCAAGGGCCCTCATTAGAGACTTGCCTTTTGC